AGCTTAAGGGTTGATCTGATGTTTTGAGTTTAATTTATACGTTGGAATGTATGTATGTAGTAGTTTGGAAAGAGAAGAGAGTTACTAAGATCACCATTGCTGCAATTTACTCGAAGATGGTCTCCAAATTCAGCATTGGTTCATTTGTAATTAGCTTGGCAAATGATGGTTCGTGTACTAAACCATAAGGAGCTTCAAATTCCTTTAGTACTCTTATTGTTCTTGGTTCTGGTAAGAAGAAGTTAATACATTGTCCCATTCAATTGGATTCATGTGAGGTGTATTACATGGTTAGGTGTATTACATGGTTAGGTGAAATGTTGCTTTGTCTCCAAATTCTGCATTGTTTTGGGATGAAACTGGATAATTCTACTACCGATTTACTAATTCTGTTTTCTATGCTTGATGTTGGCTGTGAAGGAGGCCTCCTTACCGTTCATGCAAATTTACCCGAGTCGAGAAGTTGGTCAAGTCTTATGTGACTTCTGTCTGGACTACTACTGTTCACGCTCTGTGGCTAATGATCCGGATCAGACCACAAGTGGTAGTGGTATGATCTTTATCTCAATGTTCTCAGATTTTTCATAAAACATTTGAATCAGGTTATTTATTAAATCTGGTTGAAACTTTGCAGATTCTTTGCAATGCAAGGAGGGTGGAGGAAATAGTTAGGAGGGAAAGAGAATTCAAAATGATAGGAGTGAGTTTTTGAGAGTTGAGGAAATACGAGAAAAAAAAAAAAGATTTATAAGGCTAATTGAGATGCACAGATCAGGGAATAGGTAGAAACGGGTAGATAGAGCAATCCGATAGAGTACAGGTAGCAGTCTGCTTGAATCTATCTGTCTCTGCATTTTTTTTTCATTAAACATGTTTTGGGGCTTACTCCTCTATTCACTGTTTCAGGTGCATTGCAAAATGAATGTGGAGTAGTGCATTTGCATCTTTGAATTTTTTGGTTTCTTCCGCCTGACTATAAACTCTGGAGTAGTGACTGATCCGGAGAGTGCACAAGATCAACGCTTGTGCTATCCGAGACAATGCGGAGCAAAGATTTAACTACTTTTGGTTCTTATAACCAACGTAGCTAAAGGAAGAACAAGTAGTCTGCTCCTACAAGCACTAAGTAAACCAATACACGGTTCCAAGGAGAGATTGTTTCGGTAATATGGAAGCAGAACAGGAAAGCCTACAAGTTGAACCACTGTCGCTAGCCATTTGCTGTTACCTCCATTGTCATAGTATAATCAGCGCAGAATTGTAGCAACTGTTTGAGTGCTGTTTGGCTGATACTGACCGGACTTCGTTTGACGCTTCAGGTGGCTTCGTTTGATACCAAAGGGTCTTGTAATTCTCCCCATGGCTTTCTCGCTGTTTGACGCTTCAGGTGGGTTAATGATATGTAACCCTTCCACTGAGCAAATCGTCAACTTACCCGATCCCGCCAGATATGTGGGATACAACCTCATTGATGATCAACACAAATCACTATCCATGTCCTTGAGTATTCCATTTGGACCAGCTGATACTCCTCGCACAAGGTGTTAACAATTGGACAAGATAGAGGATGGAGACATATTGAACCTCCCTCTACCATCATGCCTTATTATACTCCCGCACCAATGGCAGTAAGCATCGACGGTTTTGTCTACTATGGTGCACATAGCCCAAAACGACCTATGAATCCAGCTATTGTGTGTTTTGATGTCAGATCCGAGAAGCTAAGTTATATCCTGCGTGATGGGACTTATTCAATATTTATAGAATACAAAAGGAAGCTAGCTTCCATTGTGCCAAACCAAACATTAGAGGTTCCTCGTATTCAACACCAAGAAGTTTCTTGGCCCAGCTCCCTACAATTAAATATTTAAATTATAAAAAGCATTGCGGCGAAAACTTGGGAGGGAGTATAGTTCATTTAATATCATTTGCAGCAAACATTAAACTTCGTATTGATAGCAATAATGTGAGCCTGAACTATATCACTTCATGAACTGCTAACATTGAAATGATTAAGTACCAAGAGAATCAGACAAGGAAACAAGGGATAGGAAATTGTGGAATGATGATTCAACTTACATTTAGATAAGTACATAAAAATCCTAAATACGATACTCCTCCGATCAATTCCTAAGTGGATCAATCTCTAAATAGACAATAAGACACATCCCTAAGCAAGCATACA